AACTTCACAGGGTAGAAACTGTGCATTATAGTAAGTATGAATGTCTACCTTCCATCGTTGATATCTCTCCTTTCTTCATGACATCTTATTTAACTTATCAATATGAGCTCTTCTTTTGATATCATTAGATTCGTTGCCCAATTGATTTTGTGCTACAATTTGCCTTGATCTTCTCAGGACAAACCGGGAGATTGTCTGCTTAAACTGCTGCTGTGTTATTAGAATGCTATATGTGTCACTTTTGTATTACTACGAGAATGTTTATGCACTTTATAAAAAGTTAGTGACACATGATCTTTAAAACAACATCGATCTTAGCCAGAGAAGCAGAGCTCGAAAAAAAGATATAAACCAACCAAAAAGTACTACGAAGAAATCAAGACATATAAACGAAGGTCCAGTTTCCATTTCTCAAAATTGTTAAAAGAAAATAATTGGCACATATGGAGAATAAAACGTCGAGAGCTCTAAAGAACGTACAATTTCAAAACCTGCTCAATGGGAATCATAGCGCCGGTCCTGGGACAACGTACCATGTTGTCAACCTGCAAGATAGTATTTAACGCTGGCAGCGGAAAAGAACCTATCCAAGCAGTGAGAGAAGAAAAAGGTTTTTCGATCGCTTACAATTACCTGCAGTTCACGGATGGCTTTTTCTCCGTAGACTCTACCGTCAGGCATCATCATTGGGTGATTTTCTTCGTTCAACGCCTCACCAGAGTAAGCACAAATGAGCCTATAGAGACAAAAAGCTGTTAGATGTGATGCAAAAGACCAAAAATCAAAAACCAGCCTTGAATTGACGGTATGTGCATATGGAAGACCTTCGGCTAGAGCGTAAGCACACGGTTGGCAAGTAGGGCATCTTTCTACTCCACCTGGGGAGCAATGAGGTGTTTTGTACGCACTAAGTCCGCACTGAAGGCACATGGCAAAAGCGGATTGGTGCGGAAGCTGCAAGAAAAAAATGATTTGCCCGATTTTGAACCATTTGACGGGCAAATGAATGAAATAACGAAAACCTACTTGGTACAAAGCAAACACTTCTTCACGGTACAAGTCAGCCAGTCTTTGCCAGCGATGGTCGCTGAGCAGCTCCTTGTAAGCTGGAATGTCATTGTGGCCTCGTAATGCGATCAGTCCCATCAGCTAAGAAAAATCATTGATAAAAACGCAGATGCAACAAAAAATCGAAATTTCTATCCAGCAACAAAATGAAGAATGAGCCTACTTTCATGGCATCCTCACACCAACCATCCTTTAGGGTGCCCAGATGTTTTCTGATATACATCAAAGCATCTTTCACTCGTCCTTCACGGACCAATTCGACAGCATTCTACAAAAAAAA